TCTGTTATTTTAATCAAGTACTGCCTGTTGATTAGAGCCCTGGGATAAAGCATCAAAGTGATCTGGGGGCGAGAAGACACGCATTGTTACTGCACTCGGTGCAGGGAGACACGCGATGGCATCGTCCGTGCCCCTGCGCAGCAGCCATCGACACCACGGGTGCGGGCACGCAAAGCCTCACCGTTCAACAGCGCTCCCGCAGCGACTCAAACACTTACAAAGATAAATTTAAAAAATGTCCTAAATCATTACAGAAAACAGAGACATAGTCTATTTTTAAAACATACTGAAGAATTAAGAGAATAATATTAAAAAATCCTACAAATGGTTCAGAAAAGCTGCCTCCCTGTACGATGAGGATCTCACCAGCTGCCATGTATCGAGGCACCTCTCCATCAACAAGCAGACCCTGCCCCAGCCTGCCCCCGCCTCCCCAGGCAGCCTGTCCTGTCCCGCTGGAGCCGTGCCCACCTTCACATGGGACCGGTGCCATGGGATGAGCCCCATCTCTGCTCTGTCACATGCTGTCAGCCCCAATGCTCATCCCAGCTCCAGCTCCTGGCTGGGTCAGACGGCAAAGCAGGTTTTCCCTCTGCATTCGCACAGACGGTACCGAGCACGAACACGATTCTTCCCTCTTTGGGGACTCTGCTTGCTTCACAAGCCCTAAAGATCCTGTCATCTAACATGTACAAGAGCTTAGCTAGACGGAGAGAGACACACACAGTTACAACAGGACCTCGGGGAGATATATATTCCCTAACTGAGCGCTGAAGGCTGTATTTTTTATGGTAAGTGATCAAAAGATGTTAACGAGTCACCAAGATGTGGTTTGCCCTGGAGCACTGGTGGTTTTTATTGGGCCATCTGGGCTTTACTGCAACACAAACAGCATTACTGATGTTGTTATTAACAACATTATAATCATTAACAAAATACCACAGTGCTCAGATTTCAGGTGTCTTCTTACCTCCTGCTGTGCAGCCCCAGCTTTCAGAAGGTTAGGCTGGGATTTAGAGGACAGCCTGCCCAAAACCCATCAGTGGGGAGAGCACGGTGTTCCTAGGCACCCAGCATCCAACCCTCCCCTGCACGGAGGCCGCAGTTGCACCTCAGATATCCTCTTTCTGCTCAGAAATGACCTTGGGCAGCAGCTGAGAGCCCTGCTGCCAGGGCTGAACTCCACCTTCTCCTTGCCATGGGACAAAGAATAATTAACACCTTTGTTCACAGGTATATGTAGTTAGGAAAACATGCTGGCTTTTTAAAGCCTGCCCCATTTCTCTGTAAGAGGTGAACCCATGACTTACATTTGAGCAGAAGATGGCACATGGGGGATGTGCATCAAGTTGCCAAAAAAAACAAAAAGTGGAAAAAAGAACCACCCCAAAAAAGTGCATTTCTGTTACAGTATGTATACAGATGCTCATTACCTAGACAATGTGTTTGATGGAGTAAATGAAAATCAAACATCATCTCCACTAGCTGTTGTCTCATGCACCATCTCTTTTCTGCCAGGGCTTTAGACTTACGAGTACCAGTCACCCTCCTGCTTTTAGCCCCTTTTGGCGAGAAGCTATGAACAGACAACACTTGCAGCAGTGATCCTGACCCTGGATGCCTCCCCCCAGAGACTACATCTCCACCTGAGCTCACCCCACCTCATCTCTAAACATGGACATGGGAGTTAGTGACAGCTCCAGTAAGCATCTGAGGCAGGAAGAAGGAGAAGCATTTTGGTCTGTAAATGCCGACAATTTACAGTGTTGAATCCTAACATGCCCAAGGAGGAGGAACAAACTCAGGATCAGTCCAAAACACCCCAAATCTGGGCTAATGCAGAGTTCACTCTGTGCAGCCCACCTTGGAGGGCCCCACCGCCTGCCTCCTAGTCCGGCCACACTGAACCCCGCGCTCAGTCCAAAGGCCGTCTCTCCAGAGCAGCACCGGGAAAGCAGGAGCTTTACACAAAACCCTCCATCCACAGTGTTTGCACACACAGTCCTCGCTAAACTCACAGCAAAACGCTGCACAAATTCTTATTGCAGTGCACTAGACCCAGTTTGATTCAAGATGCACACGAGAAAAACACACAGGAGAGAAAAAAAAACGTAATCTTACTTTGTCTAGATAGTGCCTCCCTTTACCAGCCAGACCGAGAGAGCCTCAGCTGCCAGGGACTGGCACAGCTCCACTGCTCTCCAGTGAAGCCAAGCCAATGTAAAGACAGCTGCAGACTAGGTCCACAGTATGAAGCCACAAAAACAGCTCCTTTAAATTATTGAAGATATACTCACTTCTGGCTCCCACGAGTGCTTTTACAGCTCTCTCTCCCGTCAAAGCATCTTCAGCCACCCTTCAAGCAGGAGTATTTTACTTTTCAATTGGACTTTGACTCAACAGCAAATTTAATTAACTGACCTAATGGACTAGAGCTGTGGATTGAAAAAAAAAAAAAAGAAATAAAAAACAACTCCCACAAAACAGATAACAAAAACAACCACACCTGCAGCCAAAAAAAATCCAACTGCAAAAAAAAAACTAAAGAAAATAATGTGGCTTACACTCCTGCTTTGTAGAGATGCAAAGTAAAAAAAGATCTGGGCTGTGCTCCTCATATTGAAAGGTACAGCTCCCCAGTGCTGGCAACCATTCACTTTTTATTGTCTTTTAACAGAAGATCCCAAAGCCCTTTACAGGCTTTTAAGCTGTGCAATACCCTAACATGCCAGTAAGGCGGCTATATGGGGTATGCCACGGTCCCCAGCCCAGCTGCACACAGATGGGCATTTTACTAAAACCTCACAGATGCACATGAGAAGAAACTGGTGCCACACTCCCTGTTTGGGACACGCTTCCACCAACATCTGGAGCATCTCCATCACTTGTGTGAACACTGAATGTGGCTCAGCACCTTCACCACCACCATGTGTCCTGAACCACTGCAGTTCTGTGACACCACAGGTGCTGGAGTCCTGACTCGAAGGTCCTCACAACACGCTGGGCTCTTGGCTCCTCTAGCAACCGGAGGCAGCGCAGGCAGTGGAGCAGCAGAAGACCATACACACAACAACGTGACCAACACCTCTGGCTCCAGCTGTATATTGGCCACACAAACCACATGTCTCAAACAACAGAGTCCCGAGCACAGCAAGCGCAGCAAGTCCAACGACACCCGCAGCAATGCTGCCCCCCAGCCGCGCATCACTGAGCCCGTCAGCCCCAGCGGCCACAAGAACCTGGCCCTGCTGCTCCTCCGAAAAGCTCTGCACGCTCCTTCCCAGCTTTGGAGCTGCTGCTGACATTTCTGGCCTGGCATTATTTATTGCAACATTCAAAGCAAGCAACACGTCACTTAGGAAGTGAAGCACCACTTAAAAGACACGCCACTGAAATCCAACTGCATTACGTACGATTATAAATCAGCTAACTTCCCATTGACTGATTTGAGAATACATCCATTAGCACAGAAAAAAATAATAGACATCCACTCATTAATGCTAACTTCATCTGCCACAGTGAGGAGCAGCGTATTGCCTTCACCCTTCTGACTGCACAGAGCTGCTACTCTGTTTGCCTTTTCTTGCTCTATTAAAAAAAGGGGAAAACAAAGAAAACAGTATTTCACACTTGTCATGAGATCACCTGATGGAAGCTTCCAAGAACAAATCCATCATTGCACATGCAAGGTACAGTCAGGGTGACGTGCATGCAAAACAGCGATTAATTATAGACTTTTTGCTGAGGAAATTTCTGAGCATGAAGGGCAAAATTTAAATTGCTGATCAGTATCACTTTTGTTATAACGTGTTTGGAAACAAACTACCAGCTTTGACACCTGTATCTACCATCTAAGAAATAAAATTTAAAAATACTTCAAAATATGTTCTTTCAGATGCAGATTCCTTTCTCTTCATCGAAGGATGGTGAGTAATGGGTGGAAAGCTGCCCAAGAAAGTGTTTGTGAAGCCCGGGAGCCCAGTATGGCAGAGGAGTGTGGGTCTCACCACCCAGCCCCAGCCCCTCTGATCCGCCCCTGCTCCTGCTGGTGCCCCCAGCCCCGCAGCCCCCACAGCCTGGGCAAAGCCATGGCCTGGAAGGGAAACCCACCACCTCCTAAGGGGCCCTGCAGCCCTGCCCAAGGCCACCATGCTGTGGCACAGCAGAAAAGGCCACCAGCTACGGTGGCATCTGCACCAGCAGGTTTTCTGTGGGGTCCCTGGCCCCTGTTCAGCCCCCACCGGTGCTGCCCAGCTCATGGGACTCCCCCCTGCACCCCACTGCTCCTGCCCGAGCAGCACGCCCTATCCCCAATTGCTACTGAACGTTTTTATGCCTAGAGAATGAAACCAGGAGATTCAGAAATCACTCAAAAATAAGGATTCCTATCCCAGCCAAACACCTCCAGTGCTGATGAAAGCTCCCGAGTGAGGTTAGCTCCGGGACCCACCCAGACCACAGCACAGACCAGCCCACTTGGCCCTGAGCCCAGCTCTTCAAAAACAAAGGCATGAGCAAACCTGCTCACAGAACAGGTGATGTCAGCATCACGCACCCATAGCTGCATCATCTCACCCGCAAATTATGTCAAGTACCAGAAGTTATATTTGCCAGTGGCTGGGCTCTGGGAACGTGCAATACTTCCCTCTCATTCTTCTGATTTTTGATTTTATTCCCATGTCAGTTGCCACTGAGAAACGCAATTAATGCCCTCCTCCTCTGCACAAAAAGCATTCCCAGCAGGACCAGTTAAGCCCAGGACAGAAGAGGTGCGCTCAGAGCCCGCTCCAGCCGTCAGGTGGCAATGCTGGAAAAGCTTCTGCAGAGGCCAGAGCACTAATGAAGCTTCCCTGGAGACCCCAGCGATGGTCACCCCTTGCAGGGTGGCTACTGGGACAGACCTGGTCCTGCACGGGCTCACCTGCACACCCACAACTGTTTCTGCGTTCACCTCGGAGGCAACCACGACTGTGCCACATTGGTAACACCACCCCATTTACCTGTGAACACTAGGCTGGCGTTCTCCAGCTCTTCCTGCGGAACCTTGAAGCTGAAGGACTCATTGTAGAAGGGATCTATCGTCCCACGCATGCAGGAGGTCTTCTTGGTCTTTGTTAATTTTAATCCATGAACAAGCTGAATTTTCACAAAGGGATCTGGCAAAAACACAGAACACAGGCTCCACGTTACCGGCATCCTGAGTCGGTACCCAGCTCATGATGGTTGGGTGGGCTGGACTGTGCTGGAAAATGGCATTTGGAAATGGCTGGGACTTGTACCACCACACCGCTCCCAGGGATTTGCAGTGAACAGACACAAAAGTGAGCAGCTGGATTAAAAATGCTCCTTCTACAACCACAATTAACAACAGCCTTGAGAGGCCAAGTATGCTGTTCTTTTGGGGAAATGTCAATATTCTGGCAGCAGCAGTGGCAGGAACAGGGAACATGGGAAAAACACCCGAGGACACACGCATGAAGCAGTTACCAGCCAGCATGCTCAGGAACGGCAGCATGCAATGCGTGAACACTGGAAACACCGCACACCCTCCACAGAGCAGCCAGACAGCGTGCATGAAACCACTGCAACATTAACACTCGGGCAGCACACAGCATCTGCAACACACAGCGCAGCCACGAGCGCGCTGCCTTGCAACACAACATGGGGGAATTTAGAAGCTCCGAGTTCCTCACACCTCACCCTGGTTCAGAGATTTTGACCTTAAATACGGCAAAGGTATTCACAGCCTCCATTCTATCTCAGGGCAAGCGTTCCAAATACTTTTGTTATTGTTGGCTGGCTATATATATATATATATATACACACACACATATATATATAAAATGAATATCCGGATATCTGGAGCCTTGTGTTCATAGGAACTGAGCATCCAAATTGTGGGGGACCTCCTGGGTCCCCCACAAATTGCAGCCTCACCACTGATCTGTTTTAAGACCACATACAAGCAGTGCATGAGTAACATGAGAAACGCACTGCCCTTTACCTGAACCTTGGCTCATGTCTGTCTGAAGAAGCTGTTTTGCTCTAATGATGTCCACGTTCAGCCTTCCTGCGCTGGGTAGGTAGTTCAGTGACAACAGCAGCTCTCCCAGCTCCACTTCATTCTGCAGGGAACAGGGGACGTGGAAATTCAGAACAGAGCTCGGAAGGGAAGATCAGGAAAAGAAATTAAATAAATCCCATTTGTCTAAGCGCCTGAAAAACAAATTTCAGTCACACTCTAAAATGCAACCAGGAACCATCTGGTGGTACCTCGCGCTGAACAGAAACGAGGAAGAATGCTAAGCCCAGGTGAAGACAGTTCTTTAACTGCTGATACTTCACCAGCTTTTCATCAGTCATGCAAAGAAGACCTATAAGGAGGAATGAACACTAGGTCAGCAGTTCCTACCTGCTCCATTTACAACAGTTCCAGGTGGTTCTGATCCTTATTAATGTACAAAACACAGACCCACTGGAGAAGACACTCTCTTTCTTTCCCGGCCCCCAGGGACCACACCAGCCACTTGGGACGTGCAGGCACGAGACAGTTAATGCATCCCTGGGTCACAGGAAGGCAATTCAGAGGAAACGACCCCTGGGCATCCAGCCCTGTTCTACCCAGAGACCGTGGCACAGCTTAACTGTGTCCAGAGCTTCACATGAATAGAGCCGTTCTGCCACTGTTTCTTTTCCTTTTACATAATGATGCTTAAAACCAGTAATTAAAAAAAAAAAAAAGAGCTGGAGAACCAACATCACTGCTCCTCAGATACAACAGCTCCAAATAACCTCTCCACCTCCGCACGACCTGGCTCCGAGATGCCATTATTGTCAGACACAAAATACATCAGTATATACAGCGGAACAGCTCTGGAGACCAAAGACACGCTAGCCAGCCCAGGCAGGGCATCGATCCACCCGCCTCGTCTTGGATCTGCGCAGGAGTGCAGAGCTAGTTCTTCATCCCAAAGAGCCAAACAGTTTAAAACCAAGCCTAGACCAGGCTGTCACAGCCTGTCCCCAGAAGGAAAAGGAGCTGCTGTGGTACTGCAATCAGAACAAAAGGCTTAAATATCTTTAACTATGCCCCAGATATTAGATTACAGAAATCAGAGACTAAATGACTGGCTAAACAATAAAGAAAAAAGCTCTGAGACACAGTCACAGCCTGGATTGACCCAAAGAACCAGGTTCATCAGCAGATGGGCCAACACACAAGGTACCCATCACAGCAAAGTTACCAACAGCTCTGGGGAAACTGAGGCTAGGACTGCCAGGAAACCCAACGGGTTCATGAATATTCAGCTGCAAATGGAAACCGCACAATTTCCACTGGGCACAGAGGAACCATAGGTCTCTGACCGAACCCATGGAGGCAGTTGGGAAAAGCCTAGTCCCTTTGCCAGGAGCAGCACAGAACCTCCTACCCAGCCGACCGGAGCACAGAGTGGCTCCCACTAACGGCAGAACACTCAGCTCCTCACCCAGCGGGCCAAGGGCTAAAACCAATGTAAGGGACCAATATTAAAAGT